CCTCAGAAATGGGGCTCGAGATTACGGGCGCGCGCGACTAATAAATCTTGATCACTTGCAATCTTGCGTTTCCTCAGCGCAAGATCTACTCGAGTTAACTATGTCCGCTCCCAAGGAAGAGCACAAGAGATTAGCTCCTCTCGAGTGATCTAAACAGTTGTTAAGTCCCAATCAAGATTGCTGAGTACTATACACACAACAGAGTCGAAGCGAGACATATCGGACTCGTGGCACCATGGATCATTCACTCTCGACAGTATAGCTCTGTAGTTGATCGTACATGCTAGCTAGTCGCGTGGTGAGGACATCGTTGACATTAGGGGGTACCTGTTATCGTACCACAACAGCGGACGAGGATCGCGGCGGCTACTTTCCTTTGCCAGACCTGCTCGTAATTCTTCAGAAATTCATCGCCGAATTTCCTGACTCAATATTGAACACACCTGAGGAATCATCCTCTCCTTACTCATAGATGCTTGCTGCCAAGTCGATTGCATTCCTTCTCACTTCGCCAGAATGGTGGCACAGACCCGCGACGACCAAGGGTATGATATGATCTAACTTGATAGTCCTGTCGGTTCGACACACGTCCATCTAGAAAATGCTCGAGTGAGGCTCTCGAGGGCAGGAACTGTTGCGGCTTACGATATCCAATCCCACCTTCACACGAGCGTTGATGAAGTTTTGTGACAACCCACGTAGGGATAGAACGCTTTCTTCGGTAGCCTCATGGGAGTGCACTAGCGTCCTGTCCACATCCAGGGAGCTCAAATACGGCAGGACCGTCTCGGCGCCACAGAGGCTCACTATCCTCAACTGCATCAGTACGACCATGGGGACTACCGACAGCTCCTCCACACACACTCCCTTACTGTTAGGCCACGAGCCTTCTCCGCAACTCGATTATTATGATCCCCCAGTCTTCTAACTAGTGCGTAGATGAGTCCAGTTTCAGCATTTGTGATGCTATAGTCCAGCTGCTGAAATCCGGACAGGAGCAGGTGGTGTTCGGAAAGGCAACAATGACAACATGCTCAAAATAGCAATTCTTTCTATGGTTGAATCCTCCTTATAGATGATTATCAGTGGCCTCTGATGAGTGCTCGGTCATTGCTACTCGAATGCCTACCATGTCCCCTATCACGTTCGATCTTAGGAAGGCATCCAGAGTGTCCATTGCTGATATTGTCAGTGGTACCTATTGGGGAGTCACTTCTCCAAACGATGTGTACCTGTGGTACATTATTCTGCTCGATGAATCTCTTACAAACATGGGAAAGCCCACGCCAATAACGAAGAACTGCCTCTGATGACGAACACTTCATCGCACGCAGAAACTCCTCAATGGATTTCTCGTAATTCCGAAGCGTCCATATTTGAACCTGATCCGAATTTAGACCAGGGAACTGCAAGCGATGACCCACTTGCCACGAGCCGCGATCTCGGCGACTCTTGTTCGGCTCGCGAAAGAAGATACGCGCGGCTAGTTCACCGATACTGCCTTCTACTATGCGGTACTCATCCTGTGTTCTCGCGAGAGGTGATTTCTGGTTGCTTACTATAGAGACATGAGACGGACACAAATTCATTGAGACACTTGACGGGGGGCGTGAGTATAGCTCACCCAGCGATTGTATCTCGGGCAAGACGATCTGCCGCAGATAAGACGCGACCTCATCCGAAGCATCAGCGTCCCGGCATTCCGCAATAACCCTTTCAGCCAGCCAACGGTCCTCCCTGGACAATGCCTGACAAGGTCAAAGAACTCCTGTGAATAATCAGCATAACATCCAGCCGTCACTGGAGATTGGCATATCTGAATCCCACCTTCACATCGTCATGATAACGGTCGACCAACTCCGCCGTTGTTTCCTCGTGTTCGCTGCCATGTGGGAGAATCCTTCCGACACCCTCCGTTTCATCCTCATCAGGCGACTGATAGTCTTCTCGGCTTCAACAGACATGCTCAACGACGCAGTCAGCTCCTCACGAGTCTGATGCTCACCCATCACGGTCGCCCTTCTCTGTCACGGAATGAACTTTCCCATACCTTTCTCCATCGTTTTCAGCAGTACTAGGCCTATCTACATGAACGACGCTGTTGGCTGGGACACCAAGATCACCATACAATGCTTAGCTTCATCTGTTGCGGCCCTTTCGCGTTCACCCATCCCCGCTGATTGCTCATCATTCTCACTGTCGGGTTCGAATGCACCCTCAGAAGTTTCATCGTCGCCCCTCGATCTCCTCATACGCTGGAGGGCCAGTAAGGCCTGATAGAACTTCGTCTGACAACTCCGACTCCGGCTAGACTCTCACGTAATCACGTTGTTGTTTCAATACAGCCACTTCCGATTCCAGAATCGCACATCGTCTCTGTGATTCTTCTAGCCCGGGATCATCGACGGCCTGTGGGTAAACACAGCTCCATGACTGTCATGGACAACACGCAACTGGACATACGATCGATTCGTTTTGACTCTTGGTCACAGCTACTTCGCCCTTCAAAATGCGATCTTCATGCCGTGAAGCAGTTCTAAATTCTCGCAGTTTGGGCAAGCTGAAGATGATGAGCATACCAACAAGCGGGTGATCCCAGATGTGTACTTCTCAAGTATGCGGCGGACTTTATCATATCAGTGATCACTTCAGAAGCCACTCGGTCTAAACTGATACATTCCTTTTCGCCTGGGGAGGGCACTGGGTCATCCAATGTCAATTCCGATCTCCTAGTCCCCTGAAAGTTTTTCTGTAGACATCGCTCGTCTAGCTAGCAACTTCAGTTCATCACTACCAGTCGACCATCGAATTTTCATAATATCGAGGAGGTTTCGTTCATCAAAATATATTCGGCTGCGGACCCATGCAGTGATATGGTCAAATGTTCAGGGCTCAGCTGACAGGCACCCTACCGGCTTCACTGAATATTCCGAGCTCTCTACAGCGTGATGGGGATCCCTTCGTGTGGGAAGCGGGAAGCCAAAGAAACTAATGCCTACAATTCGCTAGCATTGTAAACTGCAGCAGTCCGCCCAGTCCCACTCTGAATGCCTACAGGCCATCCGTTGTTTTTCCATAGGAGTACGCGAATACTCTTCGTGGTAGCAACACCGTCAAGATAGAGACCGTTTGCACCAGAGGACACGGTCGTGGCCGCGAACCGTCCCTGAACCGCGAATAACGTCTTGTCTTGCGTACGCAACGAACCAAAAGGAAAGCTGGGGATATCGTAAACCGTATTGCTGCTAATTGTGAAGTGTCCATGACGACAGCAAGAGTCATGGACGTAGTCGGAACGCCCGTTGGTGAACCAATGCTTCAGGAGCACGAGCGTCCTACCCAGTCATCAGAGGTTGAGTTGGTGACTTCCATGCGAGCCCACACCTCAATGCGATCGGGGAGCAACCCACGTCCTCCTGGAAGCCAATTCACGACCACCTCGCGCAATTCACTGAGTTGTCGTAGGCGAATCTCCTGTAGAAGATTGTCGATGCGTGTGAGGCCTCTCAGTTTGCACGGTCAAAAAGGGTGCTCTCTGTAGGCCTCGCCTTACCAGCTCTACAGGATATTGTACAGTTCTCGAGGAGCGCCATCCACTGTGCCGTACACCCACACAAGGGAGGCACAGCTTGTCGGCACTATGCGGTTCGGACTCTGATGAGGCTCGGACAAGCCACGCATCGAGTGGCCTAGGCTTGGACGAAATGATCAGCGTGCATGGCATGAGAGTAGAGACAAAGATGGAGACTGGAGGGGGGCACCACGAATCAACAGAGATATGATAAAACAGTTGAAACAATCTACAGCTCGAGACGATCATCAAGGTCTTCTAGCATACGTCGTAGCTTCTCCTGCAGTCGAATCTTATCAGCAGCAGATAAACGACGAGCTGCTTCGACGAGTTGTGAGTATTCTTGGGACTCATCCGATTCTTTTTCAATTACTGGCTCGACTGCGACTGTGTTGCGGTGTGTGGGACCGGTACCACTCGAGTCGGATTGGCACTCTACTTCACAGTGCCTATCGACCAGGATCTGAGTTCACCCATCCTTCATCCAGGCTAAACTTGTTGGCAGCAAATACAAAGCGAGGAGTCCTCATAACCCACTTTGCCGTTATCGCGGAACTCCTTATACAATATCGTCTCCTCGAATTGCTCGACGAACATAGTGCAGTAGCTGCGCAAGCGCATGTCGTAATCACCCTGAAACGGCACCGTTCTGTCTAGCCTTATTCTACACGCCTCGAGGTGGCCAACGATCGAACTACAGACTGCCGGGGGAGCGTCGTCATACCATGCCCATCTGCCCGAACCCTTCACCGTTGATGTGGTCCTTTACCCCCGGGCCAAAAAGATACGACCGACCCTCGAACGTTTTCACGCCATAGTCGGTCTTCGTCATCTTACTTCGGCATACACCCTCCATCAAGTCAACGTATCTGGACATCCTCCCATAGAGCCAATCGTGGATACAGTATGAGTTTACTCATGTTCAGCAAGTGGACCTGTCCGCTTGCTCGAGATGCTCACGAGTGCCTTGTCAATCTGATGTAGACTCGCCCGGCAAGAGTCACATCGGAAGTAACGGAACTCCTCGAGGGCCAGCACAGGGTAGAGTGTGGCGCAGAACAGTGCCGACGGTGTCATCAACAAACTGTCTATAGAGCAGTGATGCGTTGTGTATCGAGCTCCCATGTACAGTCATTTCCCGGCCTCCTCCCCACCCTACATCGACTATGGTTTGTGTAAGAATTGGTTGGGTGTATTCGGCCACTTGAGGGTCTTTCGATGCGAATCTGGTTTGACACTTAATTCTGTGACGATCACATCGCCACGATCTCAATCATCTCTTTGGATCGTCCTCTTCCATTGCTTGGCGATTACACGCACCGAGGCAAGCCACGTAAGAAGTACATGGTCTCAACTTGTCAACTCGACATTTCGACTAATCACTCTCAACAAGGTCATGCATGCATCATTAAGCTCATCACAGTACGTTGTGGGCTTTGCTGTCAGAGCTCATCTCTATCTCGTTTGCCTGAAGTGCCTTCGATGGTGTCAGGAGGTGACCACCAATTGACCTCACAGTGTTCCATTGGCTTATCGTCCGTCACCCAGGGGACTCGCAGAGTTGAGGGTATATCTCGATGCCATAAGGTACTAGGTATGTCACCAGTGAACTGTGCATCCTGGATGTTGAAGGCAATCATGATCCTACGCTGCTGTATACCTACAGCTAGTGTGATGATAGGCCAGGGTACCAGTGGCAACCGTGAAGCGCCTACTCGTGTCGGTGGAGGAGGCAGTTGTTGGTGACACCATATGGTTCAACCAACTCGGGAACATGACCAGTTGCCCGGGATAAACGTCTATCGAAACCTGCGACTATAATACTCACTGAACGATCCATGAGGAGGAGCAGCCCAGACGAACTATGGCACGCAGTAGACCAATGGACGGCCGAGTATGCTTCCGGAAATTCCGATGTCCGATACTAGTAGTCAGTAGACATCTTTATACGGGTATGTTGATTTCAGGTCAGGCAATAAACTCACTGTCCGTCCAAATGGCGGGACCTGCCCCCGAGGGTCTATGAGTACGAGCTTTCCGTTGCTCGATCCTTCTGCTACTCTTGCATAGAAAACGGCGACACATTCTTGTCCAGTATGAGTGTGCGGGCTATGGTACTCGCTGGCGAAATGGACTGCCGTCCAATAGCTCAGACTAAACCTATAATCACCAACGCCATCAGTGCAAACACCGACGTCTCAACAGAGTGATTGAC